GCTGCACACAAATGGTTGTTCACCGTAATCCAATCAACCAACGATGGCTCAATCTTGAAGCTATGATATTTACTCCAGCTTGACGTGTGAGTGCTGCATCAGCGTCTCCGGATGAGTGCAACCAATAGCGAGAGGACAATCGGGTGCGGTTAATTCAACAACCCCATTAGGGTCATTGATCCTAGGTTCGGACACACAACACACATCAATATCCAGTGCGTCCAAGGTAAGTGCGAGTGCAGACTGCTGACCTGTTTGTCTTAGAGTGCGAATGTTGAACGACGCAATGGAAACGGGACAACGTGGCCTTATAAAAGACGGCTGTCGATAGACTTTCAATGGGTGTTGCGGGAAGGTTGTTGCAGATGCTGTGACTTCAGTGGTACTTCGGTTGCGGTCAACTAAGTTGGGAATTATAAAAGGAAGGTTGATAATAGGAGTCGGGATGGGAGTGAGAAACAGGTGGAAAAGAAAGGAGGCGCCAGCAGTAGCATGTTTTCGCTTATCCGCCCTGCTGTATGCAGCAGATAAGGCGACCCTTGATAATCTGCGCGATGGCCGATACAAGATGCAGTTAGAGTTTGTAGAAATTGTCATGGTTATAGGTGAGGTGAGATATTGCCAGGGCGCCCAGACCTAGACAGGAGGACGATTAGGGTCCTCAACCAAAGCTTTCGGCTCAAAAGCCTGTCCGCTAGGCAGCGGAGAGGTGGCAATGATTTAGCTTTACGGAAATGGACGCCATCCCATTTGAAACCCACAACTAGGAGGACCAGGAGACTGAGTTTATCTAACTTCTAATCACTGACCAACCTAAGGGAGTAGCTCTCAAGGGTCCCGGGGGCACCACCCAGTATAGCTCAATGGGTCAAAGTGGCACACCAACCGTCGCACCACGTTAAAGTCCAGTCTAGTTGCGACGGAGATGAGTGGTTGGTCAAATCTAGTGCAAATGAGGATCGTTCGTCGTTCAGATGAAAAAACCTTTCTTCCTTCTTAGTTTTTCTGTACACTGTTGGCGCAACTTACGAGGTCATGGAGAAGTCACCGACTATATAGCCTGGGTAGTAGGAGCAAACAACGGAAGAGGAAAGAGGAAGAGTAACGCGAACGCTGGCTGCAGAATTATGCCGGCAGATGATGTGAACACAAACAATCTTAACTAAGTTCTGGCATCTAAAGACGTGTACTTTAGTGATTGTTTAATCCTACAGCGCAAGCCAAGGTGTTTGAGTGGTTACCGCTTACTATTGTTAGCTAACAGCTATACATCTCCCACCTGTACCAAACCTGAAGCAGAGGATTTTTACGGCGAATTTACGGTAGCCGTCATAGAACACATCGGCCATTCTTTATGTAACTTCGCCGGAGATTTCAACAAATCTGATAACACTTTTCTCACCGAGATTACGGAACATCGTAAATTTACCCACCAGATTAGACGCAACCCTGTACCTGGTGTTCGTTAATAATACAAAGTGCTTGTCTATAAGTAATTGGGCTCCGATTGATAGTTCCGAGCATACAACCAGCAAAATTTCTCTCGTCATCTATAGCAAAATAAACCATCAGGACATTACTCGCTGTAGTGATCGAAGGTTCAGGTGGAGGCAATGTTTTACACTATCGATGGACTTTGTGGAATGGCTGGATCTACAGAACCCAGTTTATTCTTTGACCCTGACGGGCGCAATTATTGCGACAATTTGACACGCTATCTGAATTTCCGTCCCGACATCTGCTGTCCCTCGGAAACTCTAAATCCGTGGCGACAGGTTCGCCTCCCCCCAACCAGAAGCGATTGCGTCGACTTAAGGAAAAAACATCTAAAGAACAAGACGGCATCTCAGTAGAGCCTCTTACTGTTCGTCTCAAGGAAGAGTTAGGTCAACTTAAGCAAATGTATATCCCGTCTATTCTTGGGAACGATGACTGTTGCGAACTGCGGAGGATACTGAAACAGTTTGGTGAAGTTGCTCGACGTGCACCTTGTTTCAAAGCGAATGTAGAAGAAATTAACAAGGAATTCAGTAACTGCGATACTACCATAGTCCTAGAGCCTTGCTGTTCCCAAGTTCTGGTGTCCGCGAAATTTTGCCTCTCATGGACAGCGTAATTGTGAATAATTTAGTGAAACGTTTGCATTCCGGTAAAGCCAGCGGTCCGGATAAGTTATCTCTCATCGTACTCAACGAACGTGCTGACTTTTGGCAACGCATCTTACGTCTGTATACACAATGTGTAAGCAGCAACACAAAATCGCTGACTGCTGGAGAAGTGTCAGTATCACACCAGTGCCGATCCAATAATTATTGACCTATCGCTTGTACTTCTGTTGCCGTGAAGATCCATGAGAAAAGCATTCTTATAATAATTTCTTCCCAAACTCACTCCATTAACCCTCTTCAATACGCTTATCGTCGTTCAAAGTCTACACTAGATGCAGTAGTCTGCCTAGTACATATTGTACTGTCAGCACTCGACAACAGAAATAAATCAATGCGTATGTGTTTCCTTGGTCATGACAGCACGTTCGGCTGTGTAAACCGCGAATTGTTGATGAAAGAAGTACCCATTCAAAGAATATATCCTTCCAATTTCTATTTGTTTAGTTATTATTTTGCTGGGCGCACTCAGACTGTCCGACTCAGTGGCAGATGCTCTTCCCTGATAATCATCAACTCCGGTGTACTTTAGGGAGCAATTCTGTCGCCCTTTCTCTTTTCTACTTACGTCAGCTCAATAACAGCCTCCGCAGAAGCTACCTTATTAAAATATGCTGACGACATAGTCCTGGGCATCAACCATTGATCCGCCGATTCCTCACTCAAGTTGCAAGATCATCTGAACGACCTCAATCGTTGATCCAACACACGTCACCTGTCTCTTAATACATCAAAGTGTCATGATATTCTTTTTCCGCTACACAGATGAGTAAGATACCTGCAGCTCCGTACACAGTGTCCCAAGCTGTTTATTGACGGCGATGGATTGCGCTCTGCCACATCAGTGAAGTATCTGAGTGTGGTACTGAACTATGATTTACCTTATACGCTTTATGTAAATGAAACTTTCATCGAAGTTCCTAGCCTCTCGTCTTATAGTGTCCTCTGTTCCCCGTGATTTGATCTAAGTTGTCAATGTCTGTGTTCTTCCCCAGTGGATGTACTGCTCCCCTGTGATTTCCCCCGGTCTTCTGGGTAAACATTTATATTAATTGTCGTCTTTACGGCAATTGTTCCGATTTAACAGCATTCCGATGTCTATTTTTGTCAGCACACTTCTTCCTACACCTAGCAATACTTGCAAAAAACTGCCATCTAAGATACTGGGTGATACTAGTCATCCGCTTCACAACGCTTTAATGTCTGTCAACTAGACAGAAGTAGTACAAGCTGATTTATGCTAGCACACAAGCCTACTGGTCGTCCATTATCTCTGATCATTCGCGTTTCCTGCGAGACCCAAACTCTGTCGTTCTAGACCTAACTAGCCGATTCGCAGTATGATGACGGTTCTGTTCGTACTATATCAAACCAAATGATGGTACTCTTCTGTAATCGTTTATATTTCGGTATATTTCTGAGATCGTGCGCGTTGTAGATGAATATACAACCACCAAATGTGTATGAAGCAGTTTTTGAGTTGATTTAACTTGAAGTGAGTTCCCCATCATCAAAAACAACCCGAGGTGCTTGTTATTTACGTCTATAGAGCCAAGCACAAAGCAAACAAATGTTGATGCACATGGTTAAGTCCTAGAAGAGCGAAGATGCACACTCGCCTTGTTCCAACCTCTACTGAGAGAAGGGTTAAAGAAAAGTTTAGTTAGTCTCCAAATACTGATATATCCGGCCTGGGACGCTCTTGAAAGTCGGCATCAATCGCAGACCGACGAATCAAAGCGGGCCGCAAAACACTACACCAAGTAAGGTTTCAGTCGCTTCACAACGAGATGGCTGGATCTCTAACTGCGACTTGGTTGTGGAGGAAGCACTTTTCCAATCAAGAACCAGAGAAATTTCTCACAAGTTGGCAGAAACAACGCCAACGGCTAAACTAGCGCAGAGCATCAGGGTGAACAGTAAGAGCTCTGCAGAGCGAACAGTGACAAACGAAATCGCATCTAAGGTTGGTCAACTCAGGAATATTTTAGGGCGAATAGGATTGTATCATTTGGTGAGCTAGGAATACCAATTAATGGACAATATTCCCAAATGAGGGGAATGCAAGTCTTCCCACAACCAGGTGGTTTCCCTGCACCAATTGAGATGGGTATGTCACGCCCTACGCATTTAACCAGAGCGTTCACTGAGCAGGGCCCCAACCTCTCGTGCAGAATTAGGCTGGAGGAAACTGCGTGTTACCTAGCCTTCCATTTAGCAACAGCACGTGAATTCACTGAGGTCACGTTTAGACGCCGTCTGGCCCATGCGTCTTCCTAGTTGGGGGGAACAAAGGATGAGGTGCGTCAGTGACTAGAAAAGTTTGAAGATATGGTTCGCAATCGAAATCAGTGGAAGGCTGGCAGGTAGGATTGTTTGGATTCATATGTTCGATGCCGCAATCGCAAGAAACGGCAACAAGTAAAAACCGAATGTAAGAACAAAGAATTCATAGTTTCTTCTTTAGGAAGACTGTGCCGCTCCTTGATTTCCATGATTATTGAAAACTCCATTTCTATCTCTTAGACTGATGAGAGTGCATATATTTAAACGCGATTGGATAGTCTTGGATGACTTTGCCGCAAAAACTGCTAGTATCAAGGTTGCCTTCTGTGACCATATTAGATGAGCGACTGAGTTAAAATACTTCACAATAGGTTGGGAACGATCGTTTGCTGAACGAATAAAAGCCAGTAACTTTCCAGTACAAAAAAGTACGAAATGAAGTCGCCGGCATAGAAAGTGCAATTGTGTAAAGCGAATAAATAGGATACTGTCGGTTTTCGGAAAATAATATAGTCCAAAAAAGAGCCATCTGCTGTAGGCTGAGCTTACTTTCTCTTCTGGGCGACGTCCGGTCAGTTCGGATGGCATTGTGCAAGTGATAAGAGGCTTCCCTTCCTACAAGTATCAAACAGGAAAGACGTCTGTAGGAACCGCGATAGGAAGGACTGATCAAAGATATGAAGAACAGACTATGGCTTTCGACCGTGAGCAGTGCTAACCAACAAGCATGGCGTCCACATCCAAGTCTAACCATAACACCGCTCAGACGAGAAGGGCAGCTCTATTCTTGAACAATAGTTGAACTCATAGGGCAAGTGTGAAGACAGAATGACGGACGAGGATAGAAGAAAATGCAGCGAGGTACAGACATGCGTGAGCAGCGAGCGAGGCGTGATTGAGAACTGCATAAGCATCCGTGGAGATGACAACCTGTTCTGCAAGTGGAGAGCGAAATTCGGGTAACCCGAGCCTAGATCAAGGTATAGTGCAGTAACCAGATATGTAACCCGGTTTCCGACGAGATAAAAGCTCTCAGATTTCATCCAAACCACAGAAGTGGGTAGGCACAACGTGAGTGGGTGGAAGACTCTAAATTTAGATAAAAGTGGAGGTTTGTTTTCACTGTGTTCATTGCAAGGTTGGTATGAAGGATTAACACGGACCGTAGGTTCTACGCTTGCTTCAACGTAATACATTTACGCAGGAGCAACATCCCATGCGCCGTAGCGAGATCATCAGGACCCCAAATGTTGTCACGGAGGCCCAATACACGATGCAGAGGGTTATTTTGTGATACACATAATGAATCTGCTGGAGCCAATAGTCGGAAAGAGGGGCTGAAACCATAAAGGAACATATGATCAATTAGAACTAGACCACTAAGGCTGGCAGAGTGAGGAGGAGCAGCGTCATTACAAGTAGAGCTTGCCAACCAATCACCGTTTAGCTGACCGTTAGGCTGCTTCCGACAGTTTGCTCATTATCCATAAAAGATGACTAAGGTGTCAACTGGCTGAGAGCAGATGTATTGACGGGGCAATTCGACGCTTACTATGATGACTCTGGGGAGATGGATCCCAAAAGTGGGAAGAAGAAAGAGTTGGTGTAAAGTTGGGATACAGCTTTGTTCACTAACCACAGCAACAAACAGCCTAAGCAAAACCAGATGTAGAAGAACAGATCCAACGCAAGGTAATGAGAATGTAAAACATTTTACATCACCGTAGAAACAATAATTAGGTAAAATCTGTGTTCAACTGTGAGGATAATGGGGATAACAGGACAACGGACTCGAATGGAATGGTAAGGAGCATCCGAAGTAGAGCGCGGCACTTTGAGAACCGCTGGCAGTCAGTCGGATTGTGATAAATTAGAAGGCCATATAGGTTGCAATCCATGGGGCCGGCTCGCAGTCGACACTGCAAAGTGACTACTCTTTTGTGGATGTGATGCTCGGAAGCGAACCTTGACGATAGGTGGTCAAATTCCGGTCAAGAAAGTAAACATCTCTCTGACATACAATCTCGCCTACCGAATGTGAATACATTGTTCGGTCTAACCCCTGACCATCTTAAACAGAATGAGCGGTTCCACTACAGTTCCTATAATGTGCAAAATCGGCATAAATGCAATGACAGATAGTCCATGATTGGGGGTTGCAAATGGCAGTACTGGTGGACATCGTCCTTCTTCTCAAACTTGCCAAGGAGATCGCAAAAGTGCCATATCACGCGCGGATGAATGTAACTTCACACGAGAGAATCCGCACCGAAACTTAGCATTAACTTCGCATGAGTTTAGACGCATTTGTTGAGGTAATGAGAGTGTGTAAGTCGCGGAAGACTATTGCATTGTTACTGCTACTGTCACTAAGGACAATAATTCCAAGCCGCTGATTTGCCGTTACTAAATGCGAACAGCTGAAAGAAGAGAGCAACAGGTGTACGGAGTACGACAAATAACAACTCCTGAGGGTAAACAAGTGGACTGTCAAGCACGCGATACACAGTAGCCGCTCAGTTAAGGCGTGCATGCACCACCCATAAGGGTGTGGACGGACACTAGTGCAGTGTGCACAGAGTGACATTTTAAGAGTTTCGCAGAATGATCGCTGAGTTTATCGAAGCGAACGCCAGCATTTTTCCCCACATGGTTTTATGACTAGATCCGTCTCCGTGAAACACGACTTTCCGATGAGTGCCATGCTCGTAACACACTAGGGTCTCAACCGACTTTGGAGTGCTTTTATCTCTCCGCTGGCACCGATGCCATTTCCGGAGGTGGCCTCAGGTAGGCGAAATGCTATCGTCCAAATTAATGAGCACTAGTAGAAGTGTATTTCATACGTAGTTGCGACCATAGCAACGGCACGCACACTGTGTGGTACGGCAGAAAATGAATGAAGGTATGATACGCAACGTCACATGATCACCTGTGATTGAAAATAGTAAAAACCGTTGCAAAAAGGTAGAAATGACGTCAACAGATGGAGTTGTGACAAAAAGAAAAAGAACTGTTCTGGTTTCAATAAACAAATTAAGGTAGTTAGACACTTAGTATCCAGTAAACTAGGGAGTAAGTAGAAATCGAACACAGAGTACAGGACATCATGTCGGAGTAGAAACAAGGAAAACTCCAGTAAACGGAGCCATGTTTGGTCTGTTTGTGGACATCTATGAATGAGAAGCGGTGGAAGAAGGAAAAGCCACAAAGGAAAGCCACAAACAATAGCCGTAAAAGTTGCACAACAAATCTCATATGGGGGAAATTAGAAGGAAGTCAGGTACTCGTTCACCGGGTCGAATTACAGAGTTGAGTGGACATTAAGGTGGCAGCATAGGTTAGTCGAGCAGATAAAGGAACGACCGATTAGGTACAAAGTAGAATAAACAAAATAGGTTATTAGTGTACAGGAGATATCGATACAGTAGTGGGGAGAAGTTGCCATGCAAGACGGACTTGTAAAGGATGACTGAGACAGATGAAAAGCAATGGCATCTAGTAATGTTTTCTCAGGGAACACGCACCAAAACAAGGAACAGAAGTAGCTTGGAGGAGCACGACCTATGATGTGCATTAGCCAAAATCGCAGCATCAAATATATCAGAAATTGTTGGAACTAAGCATTAGCAACCATTTCGTTAACTTACATCAACACTTGATTTAAAAAAATGTTCCAAAATAGATGTTTTGTTTATTTGAGTGATAAAAAGTAACTAAAAAAAGCATTCATTTTTTGTAATTTAAAGGAAAAGATAGTCAATATATAATTAGTACTTAAACTTAAAAAATTTTGGGTAATTGTTTATGGTGAACTCGCTTTGGAAGTAACAACCACAAAGACGTTGAGAACCATTGTTCTAGACGAAGTGGAAGCAGGCATTTGGAAAGTGTTCCCGAAATAAGATGGCCAAACTGTTACGGAATACTGGTAGCTCGGGTGCAATTTTGCACCATGCATATCACCGCACGGACGATGCCACGTCGCATGGCGACGAAACGTATGATACCAAAATGCCAAGCTCGGTAAACAAATGAACGAGATGAGCAACTTAAGAGAATGAACATTGCAGAGATTACTGCATGGATGCTGAACGAAAGGAAACATCACCTTGGGACATCATCGTTTGATCTCAGGGCATGGATATGTTCAGTGATATGCTGACACGTGTGCCGGAAATTCGCTACGTCCAGAATAAGATACCCTACGCTTGACAATGCCCAGCCGATTAGTACTAACAAGGACAAAACAGTCGTAAATTGAAGTGTTGGCAGCGAACAGCAAAGTAGTACCCATATATTGGAGCAGCGCTGGAACGAGTGCCAGTTCGTTGACGTGTGTATGTGCAGAAAGTGGATTAATTTCGAGGGCTCTAAACCACATAAATCGTCTTAACAGCTCGATGTGTGATGCAGCTCGAGAGAACAACGGGAACTTACTCGACTTATGCATCGTGCCTGCATTTCGACGGTGGTGGACTGAGTCGAGCTGATTACCAGTCAGTGGGTGGTCTAGTAAGCGTAATTCAGAAGGCGCTTGGAGACTGCTGCCTGGAATAGGGGTTAATGGAGCATAGGCGTATGCAAAACCGTCACAGCCGACATCATGATGCAAACCCAAGTATTCGGGGGGATAAGGTGAGGAGAAATGACAATGAAAGCGTGTTTAGTATAGAAACGACGCATAAAACGAGCTCACCTTAAGCATCTCAGCTGAGCTAGTCACTCTGTACACTCCGCGCATCTTTGGCTGTGATTTACTACCGGGAAGCAGCTGATCCAACCACTTGAGCTCGTCCTGTGTGAAGATGAAGTCGAGCGCCTTGCGGATGAAACACATAGCAAGCACCTATCGCAGATTGCAGTCAGAAAAGGGAGAATATACATGGCAAGGATTCATCGACAGACAAATATGAGCAACTAACAACCCGAACAATGGGACACCGATGAACACAGCATGAAAAGAACCACAGAGATGATACATGTCGAGATGGTTAAATTTTCGGTATTTGAAAAACAGAATCCAGTACCACACACACAATGTGCTCGTGAGTAACGACAGAACGTGTTGTCTGCTGGCATTGCATGCCTCCGTTACTGCAACGCGAGGGTGGTATGTCGAACAATACCCAAAGTGACGGTGTGCAGTCAAAGTTCCAAATAGCACAGAAACTGACAGGGACAATGCATTTCAGTTACTGCATGTTTCCATTGAAAAACGTTAGCTCATAACAGCACACAACAAGACTTGGTGTGTACACAGTGCCACTTTCCGATTTCATCAAAATATCGGATCGGCCAAGATCAACGTGCCCACTGAGGGGAATAAAGTTGTACTGTTTCAGTCTAATAAGCCACCTGAAAGGATGAGGTGAGATCGTGTAAACAAATCGAGTGTAATCTAAGATGCATCCTGTCTAGACTCATTCAGACAGCCGCATGGTTCTCCTTTTATACATTCAATGCCCATCCGGATGAGTGCATATGTTGTGAACTTCATTCAAACCCCCTACCACTCCCGTGCAATCAAATCGAGTATGTTGACCGAAGGGGATAGAAGCGCACCTGATCGTGTGGCGCAGGGAAGGCTCATGCAAGACGAATAAAATGCAGTAACACATCAGACAGCCATCACATGAACAGAAGGGAATAACTCGCGCATAATAGCTGGGTAAATTGTGATAGGAGTCGGATGATGGAAGAGGCTAAGACTAATGGGGGCATAATGAACAAACCCGTGATAGCTAAGTGAGTAGTGGATTCTGATCTAATGTATGGACTGTGTATCGCAATCCGCTCCAATCCATACAGATGCCCAAGCATCCAGAAAGGCAGTAGATGGTCCTATTGGGGCTCGTTAGAGGTGCGCATCCTCGAACTCCACCTGGAACCTAATCCATGACCTCTCGTCGCCAGTATCTTATGCCAATAGGGGAAGACAGACCGTTATGACTTACAAGTGAAGTGTGATATGGCGCGGCTCGTCTTCCCCTGTCAAACAAGTTATGAGGATCGAAGAGAACCGGGTTGACCCTAAAGCTAACCTTCTCCGCACAGCAGCTGCGTCATAGCAGTTATAAGCTGTTCTGACGAGCTCTTTTAGCCATGATGAGTGGGAGAGTTTATGTAATTTATAGATTGTTTATTGAAATCAGCTCCAAAACAGACAAAGTTCCATGCATAAGGAAAAGTGTTAGAGGGTCGTTTCGCCTACAAGGACTTGTTCGTAGTGCGCAAGCTAGGCTCATAGTCTCCCAGCGCTGTGGGTGTGTTGGCGGTGTTGCTCTGCACGAGTAGTTTACTAAAACTGGTGGATGTAGTATCAGTAGCAATATAGGTCATTGGTATGTGTATAACCAATCCGTTGAAGAGGAGGGTGGACACCGAATGGAAACGTGATAGCCTACTTCAACCTAAGCGAGATGTCGCACTGAGGTGCGAAAAACGAGAACGCAACCTCTAATGTCTGTTCGCTGTGAAGCTGTGGGATGACGTTATGAGCGGTTAGCGCACACTGTGCAGTTCTGGCAGATTGAAGCCCTAAGACATACCGTCGCCGCCCCTCAATCTATCAATCGGTGAGAGATAAAAAGGTTCGTTGTCCTTTTTCCGCTTCAACTACACTGTTGACACGATTACTGAAACTGCGTTCACCTGACTCGGTGTGGATCTGCATCCAGGTAATCGATTTATTGGATTGGAGTTTGCAGATGATATCGTCCTAAGCTGTGACCGATAACAGATATACTGAGCAGGATTGAACAGATTAACATTGACTGTCAGTCGTTTCGGACTGTGTTTTGCAGTCTCAAAATTCAAGACTTTCCATCAGGATTGTCAGAGAACACCCCTGCGTTGACATTTCATGGGGATAAGCTTGCACATTCAGCTACCTAAACAGCTAGATAACCGTTTGTGGAAACGATTTGGTTAAAAACGGTACACGGAAATCCGAGGTACATTTGTCTAACTTTGTCACTTATGGCACTGACGCGACTTTACTCTGGCTATGAAAAGTGGTATACAATGCTGCCGCCCGTTTAATCCTACTATACGGAGGCGGAATATAGCAAATCCGATCAAAAAATGCTAAGAGGCTAGTGGTGTTTTACCACTGGTGTCTTCGCAATTTGGTAGGAGCATTGCGTGAGCAATGGACAAGTCCGGCGTTTTGATTTTGGTGCGTTAGTTCACATACCAAACTCTGATGACAGTTGCATGTGTGATGCACATCCGCAAACCGACTCTTGTGGTGCGCGTTGTTTGTCGGACCGGGGTCTAGAAGCAGAGGAAAGGTCAGTCGACGACTTGGTTGGTGTCTCTCGATTTTAGCGGGTAGGGGCCGTAAAGAATATGAACGCATTTGGTTGGAGACACTTGTTGACATGGTGAAGAGCCGACCTCAGTGTCGTTTGTGTTGTGTTTCTTTGTTACTTCCTCCTCTAATCACCATCTCATTCTTCATGCGTAATGTAAATTGTTCTTGTTTCTTCTCGTTCTCAGCCACCTATTTGTGTTGTACTCCGGAACAATAGCCGGACATTCTCAAAGCTAACTAACGTGTTGCATAACAGTGAGACGTATCTGCTTCCCGTTTACAAAAGGGAGGAACACCAATTTCGACCGCATCATTTCCGCAGATAAACACGATGAGGATCAGTCGAAAATCTGGTTCCAAAGTTCAAGAGAATGGGCAAACTGGCAAGATATATCGGAGTTTTAGAAAATATGGTTATGAAAGGTATGGGTAGAGCGGGACATACCATGATTGGAAAGAGAATGGAAACCATTTCGACCGACTTGATCACCCATAGCATTACCAGACAAAAGACTTGAATCAATGTGTACATATGAACACGGCGGAGAGCGACGTGCCTAAAGTGGGAAAAAGCAGGAAGACTCGTTAGTTCATGATGCGAAATTAAGGCAGTTTGCATGTAGGCCACAGTTTATTGGAGTAACTGGACCACGGGCGCCTCCATGAGCGTGCTCAATCGGCTTAATGCTTAATGTATCCATTCGAGTGAATTGGCACGGTTCGCGGATAGAATAGAGGTGAGCAAGGCCCATAAATGAGTGCCATCTTTCTCTGTTAAATGAACAGTACGGCCGTCGACTCGTCACAACAATCGGCAGTTACACTGTAGTAGATACGACAAACGCGGAGAATGGACCAAGTAGTAGGATGAGGACAGCTTCCTAACCAAATAACATTAAAAGCACTTAAATGCACATGTAAAAACCGAAAACCCATACTGTGACGGCATCGGTGACGGACGCAAATGGGATAACGACACATAAGTGAAGTCGGATGTAGTTCAGCGCAATGTCATACGATGGCTGCTGGCTTATCCGCGCACACATAAACGACCCGCTTGACAACAGTGGAACCTGCGGTCTGGGGAAAGGTATAAGACCGGTCGCCGTATACATCTTATCAGCTATGGTGGAGTCCCTCTGACTACGGCATTGGGTTTCGACCAAAAATAAGTCGGCATTTTGATGTGAATATGCCAATACGTGCAGGTGATGCAGCGCAGTGATCGGGCCATCCAGCTAAGAATAGAACACTTATTCATCTATATCAACGTGACAACCAGTCCACTGATAAGGAGCACTCACGTCATAGGATCCAAAATAGTTTGACGGACTGAGATGTATTGAAACACGAGTCAAATACTTCAATCAGTACGATTAAAAGACAAATAGTGAAACAGAAAATATGAAAGAAAAGTACTGAAAAGTCGATGGAAAATAAGTCAACAGTAAAGGCACTAAATAAAAGCCTAGTAGGTTGATGACAGTGCTGTACAGCCATTGTGAGGCCTTAAGTGGCCCCGCAACAAAAGACAAGTGAACGATCGCACAGACAGCGCGAAGAAATCCTTTTTGGATGATTGGGGCTGAGTAATCTCCAACACAGCAGGATTCCGATGAACTCCATTTAAGTGTTCGGGAGAACCGCGGTCTATCCCAAACTAATTCCAATCCCGAATGAGACAAGCAACCTCATCAAGTGAGTTTCCGGTGGTTGAATGCTCGTTGCCCTTGGATATGCCAGTAACGGTAACACAAAGGGTAGTTAGGTGGGTTGAAAACAAAGTGACCACAGCCCGAATCAGACAGGTGTTGTCTATTCTTGTAGGCACATGATGATGACGAGTCAGGTTGAGGCATACATGAATGACAGATGCATCAGTGCAACATACACTGGCTTACACAAGCGCGGAACATTGAGCCGAATGAGGGTAGTAGTTGGCATATCACCCGCCACTAAATCCCTTACCAGAGCTGGCTGAATTCGGCTCAACAAACAAAGTGTTGAGTCTTGGAGTGTTCGCCATGTGCCTTGGATCGTAGCAACGAATCAGTTTGGACCACGAACTACTCTGAAGTAAACCACAGTCAGTCCTATCGCTGGGGTCATAGCTGAAGTGCAGATTTCAGCTTTTCTCTCTAATAACGCCGTACTAAATGAATGGATTGGCTCTTGTCGAAAATCTTCAGGTACAGATAAACAGAACAGGGTGTGGAACCCGACAAGTAATGGTTGGCGAGCAGCTCTTGTGTGCAGTGACAGCGTTGGCTTAACTCCCGACCTGGGAACTGAAACATGGGTATCATTGTCAGTCATGTTAACAATAAGAACGGTGGTAGCAGCATTTCCAGAGTGTGCTGCCTAATACAAGCGCAATGCCGCATTTGTGTCCATTCCATCAGTGAAAGTAGTATTCAAATGAGCCCGCCGGTAAGTAATAAAGGACTTGTACATCGCTAACACCCATATAGTATTGTGTGAAATTCACAAAGTGCGGATGGTGACCTGAAAAAGATTATGGGTAGGCGAACCTACCCAAATGCACAGTTCACTGTGTGGGTGTGAATTCCACTCACACTAACAGGACATGCTAGCTGTTCGGGAAAAAGTCTGATGTAACTACTCGATGGAGAAAACATCTCTAGGTGGCGCGTGTAATCGCGGAAAGGTCAAGGCAGACCATAAATCGTTGGTTCGGAAGAAGACAATACGAAAGAATAATCGGACCAGGATCCATCGCAGCTTTCGTTATTACTCTGGGAATTCCGCTGCATTGCCAAGCGGACGTAGCAAACAAAAACAACGCGTAAAATCTCCAGCACAACGGAATTTGCCGTCACACAAACAAGACAGTTTAGGAATTGGACGGTAGTTAAACAGCCGGGTAATGTACGCGGGAACCGGCTGAAAAAATATAACAACTAATAGCAGCACTTCGCATAGTTGTGGTAAGGCAATTAAGGTTCGGTAAAGTTACAAATAAACATACACCATGCGGCTGGAAGCAGACGGCCTTCAAGTTGCGTGAACGAGAACGCCTTTGGTATGTGGGTACCGCAGCACTATCATTTTTCCAGCTTCGTTTAATGGATCGGTTGTGTATGAGGGAAATTACGAAAACAGAGGTAAATGAACTGTACAGTGGTTTAAAGTTGTCTTCTGTGCTGGTCTTCAGTGTGCCGCTCACACAAAAGGTAAGTCGAACGACCCAACAAACAGCGTCTGATTGCCAGTAGTCGTTCAAGAAAGCGAGACCAAGAGTTAAGATAGTTTGCCAGAGAGCGAAGATGTACTTGAAACGCCAAGCAAATACAGACTAAACAAGAGGGGAGATCGCCCGGTGCATCACCTCAAACCGATAACCCACGGAGTGCCGTATGCGAATAGACGGATAAAATGAACAATGCTGAGACTAGGCAGTGAAGTTGATGAGAAAAGAGCGCCAAAGTCTTCGATAGGCAGGGAAGAATGTAATGTATGCTCATTTTGTTCAGACTTAGTGCATGAGGATTGGCTGAAGAGAATAGAGAGAGTGGTCATCAGGCTCTGAGGATTGTTGCGTAAGGGCAAAACAAGAGCAGAACTCAGTCAAACCGAAACGTGGTAGTGGGGAAGCCGGTACAGAACATAGTGCTATATCCGGGGATCGGATGAGCGCGGGGCCTCAATAAGACGGACACAAACCTGTGTTCCACTCAGACAGGGAAGTTATTATCGCCCGTGAGCCACGAGTGCTCAGAGCTCCTTAGGAGCGGTTCGTAGGAATTCGATGCCGCATAGCTAGTATGAACTACATGTTGACGCGATACCGGTCGGCTCAGACCATAAAAACAACTATGACCCAAACACCAAAGTGCGGTAGAGATCCAGTTGTTGCGAGTCGCACAGCCAGGGTAATAAAAACAAGAGTGAAGAACGTGAGGCAGAACGCAAATAAAACACAAACGAAAGGGAGTTGGTAGTTAAGCTAATCAGATTGGAATACTAGCAGCTAGATGCAAGAAACTAAGCGCAGAAACCATGTTGACTTCGCAACAACGTCATGCTCGATAAGGTCTCCAACCATAGATGCGACCCACCAGGAGGCTCATACACTAGAGGTTGACATACACTAATCCGACCAGATTGCACCGTCAACTTCTACCTACCTCTATGAAAAGTATTGCATTGACTACGTCGCGGCTTTGTCCAACTAGGTGCAACGACAGCATATTACTATAGGCCGAGGAAGGCGGTCAGCAGTTATGCAGAGGGTCAATGTATGCGATACAAATTTAACAGACACTCCAGTGAGACACCAGAAAGTTTCTCGCCAAACAACAACCAGTACTATACACCCAGTATTCCTATCAGATGTGAGTAATGCCCCGTAAGCATCAGCTATCAAACTTGAGCAAATTAGACGAGACAAATCGCAGACGCGGGGACTTTAAATTTAGCTATGCTTTATAATTCTTATCTAAAGGATTTGTAAACAGACACACTTTTCGGAACTGCATCGGAACGCTTTTGTTTTAACTTTGAATATTTTATTCGGCAAGTTGGGACGTGACATTTTACACTCGCGATCCTTTGACATTTTTGCAGGTTTTCACGCGTATGAATTGGGCACTTTTTCCTGGTCAAGACATACGAAACAAAAAATAAGGAAAGAAAGTCTACACAAAACACCGTATAGGATGGCGGGTCACATCTCGGAATTATGAGCCTGTCTGTTTTACTCAGTGCTAATATTTGATCGCTACTTGGAAAATCAGAATACTTCAAGAATGTTATAAAATGTTGTGAATATTCTCACTTCGGTATAATTACGCTGCAGAAAACCTGGCTACTCTTCGATGTTGAAGATGCAGTTGTGGAACCCGAAGGATTTCGCTCTTATCATGTTGACCGCCAGTGTACACAGAAAGACCGCGATGGTGGCTTGATCAGTTACATCCATTATTCATGGTGCACGTCGATTGAAAGCATTTTCCACTAAGGCTCGCAACGCCTCAGCTGTTTAATCGTGAAATGCAAACTAAGGCTGCTGAATGGCTATCGTTCGATTTTAATGGTAAATGCTTATACGAAATCGAGGAATTACACGACGGATTTACGACTGGGGTCCTCGAATACCTGGAACTCCCTTTGTGCATAGTTTCGGGCGATTTTATCAGATCTGACACCAGATTCATTGCGAGTCTTGGTCTAAAGAACATAGTGCAATCTCCAATCAAGATTGGATGCAACCCTTGACGCGGTATTTGTTAACAACCTGAAAGTGTTTTCTGTTTGTAATCAGGCGCCACTAAGGAGCTGTTCATGTCATCGTAAAGTTTAGATAAGATAAGATAAATCACAGAGATCACATCCGTTACATTGATCGAAAGTGCAAGTGGAGACAATGCCTTCCCCAGAACATTCAGCGACTGCCTAAAGCCACTGACTTCACAGGTTTGAGTACATTTTACGGTGCGGATGTACCGAAGTATTGTGGGCAGTTAACCCATTACTTAAACTTCTGCTTCGACACGAGTTGTCCAATTGAAACGAATTTTATCCGTTTCCGAAGATT